TTTAACTTTTAATTGTTGGCACTATCATTGCAGCTAGCCAAAAGTCTATGCCGAATCCCTTTGCTGATCCAGGCGCCCTAGACAAATTGCGGGCCAATCCTACAACAAGTGCTTACTTAAACCAGCCAGATTTTATGGCGATGTTTAATGTAGCTAAGTCGAGTCGAGAACTTATGACGCAGTTAGTAAACTTTATTATTATTTGTTATTCTTACTGTGCGGGAAGTAAAGTGGCTACTGTACGACCTGTTTAATCAAATTGCTATTACTTTATTACGTCTAATTTATTATTACTTCTTTCATAGATTTATGAACGATCCACGTTTTGTAAGTGCCCTTGGTGTATTACTTGGTATAAATCTCAGTGCTGATGCTTCATTTAATCCAGGTATTGTATTAATTTTTACGGCCTTTTCATTATTCTACTGTAAATTAGCTGATTTTACTGTGACTAATTACAGAGCCACAATCAGAGTCGAACACTACCACTACCACAAGTCATGAGCGATCATCAGCTACTAATAGTAGTAGTAGTAATAAGGAGAAAACACAAGAAAAGAAAATGACAGCAGATACTCCCGATTTAAACGATGAACAAAGAAAAGTAAAGAGTTTTTACTTGATCTGTATATGCTATGGTATACATATTGAATTAATGTCTGTTTTATCTTATGCTGTTATTAAGGCTATTAAAGAAAAAGAGTTAGGCAATGCAGCATATAAGAACAAAGATTTTGATGTCGCTATTGCACACTATACAAAAGCTATGGAATATGATCCGAAAAATTTAACATTTTATACCAATAGAGCTGGTAAGGTATCATTTTATGACAATGTAACAAACTAAAGTTAGTATTATCTGGCTGAAGGTAGATTAACTTTCATAAATAGCTGTCCATTTTGAGAAAGGAGACTTGGATAACTGCATTGAAGATTGCCGTAAAGGCATAGAAATTGGACGAGAACACAGAGCAGATTTTAAACTAATTGCAAAGTAAGATTAATTTGCTAATTACAAGACCTGTAACTGTTACACATTGCAAAAAATCTTAACGGATGTTTAGTGATGTTCACGTGTATAATTATGATGTATCACAAGGACTTAAATACCTCTTTAATTTTGATAGAGCGTTCGCACGGATTGCTAATGCCTATGTTAAAATGGAGAAATATGAAGATGCTATTACGAATTTTGAGAAGTCTCTATCAGAGCACCGAGCTCAAGACGTATTAAAGAAATACAATCAGGTTTTCCACTTGTAGCTAAATCAATGCAATAAATAAAACGATTTTGTACAGTCTGTCTTATAACGTTAAATTATTGAAAGGTGAAAAAAACTATGCAAGAAATGGAAAGAAAAGCCTATATCAACCCTGAATTGTCACTGGAAGAGAAAGCGAAAGGAAACGAGTATTTTCAGAAAGGTAATACGATGTTGTTTATCTAGTTTGATGAGAATGATTTTGATTAAAACTTAACAATATTTGCCAACTATTGGATCAATTTCATATAAATAGGCAAGTATCCAGAAGCAGTAAAGCACTATTCAGAAGCTATCAAAAGGAATCCTGATGACGGAAAATTGTACAGTAATCGTGCCGCATGTTATGTGAAATTAGCAGAATTTAACCTTGGCTTAAAGGTAATACAATAATTATAATGTATAAATAGTGCTTCAGTAGTACTTTATCGTGATTCGTTACATTGACAGTTGATACTTGTCGTCGATGACCTTATCGTAATTTGCTCTTAAATTTGTTATTCACCTTTAGGACTGCGATGAATGCATCCGATTAGATCCAAATTTTAGTGCGTATATGTTTTGCATATTAAAGATTGATATGATTGTATAACTTCAGTATTAGATTTAACGTCACTGTTTGTATTTCAGTTAAGGGTCACTTGCGAAAAGGCAACATTCTTTTGGCTCTAAAAGAAAATTCAAAAGCAGCAGCTTGTTTTACTAAAGCATTAGAATTAGATCCTAACAATGCGGTATAACGTGAATGTGCATTAAAAATATCACTCTTATCCTACATTATGCTATGCACATAATGTTGCCGACCCTACTTACACTTTCATAATTACACATACTCGTAACACAGGAAGCTAAAGAGGGGTACTATCGTAGCTCCAGTGTAACTGAAGCTGATCCTAAGAAACGTGCAGAAGCAGCAATGCAAGATCCAGAAGTTAGGGTATGAAATTGATAAACCTATACGTCTACGCGTGTTACTTGCCTAAATCACAAAAGATGAATGTTACATGTACAGTAATATCTTTCTAGATCTAAATCAGGGATGAACTAACACTTCTATCTTATTTTGGTAGGATATATTAAGCGACCCTGCGATGAGGCTTATTCTTGAACAAATGCAGAATGATCCCCATGCAGCTGGAGAGTAAGTATTTCTTTTTTTTTTTCTAGATTCTAATTTCTACTTTACAGGTTAAAATTTAATTTTTGTTTCAATCATTTATCAACTATATTTTAGACATTTGAAAAATCCAAACATTGCCTCTAAACTCCAAAAATTAATTGATTGTGGAATTCTCGGTGTACGCTAAATACTATCAACCATTAGCTTGACATGTCAAATATCATTTCTGTTTCATCTTTTAATATTACTTAATATTGATTGATAACTAATGTTATCGATATACGGCATCAAGAGTATAATTGATAAATCGAATGCATCGTTAGCATCATAATTGAAAATACAATGGCAGTTAGTATCTAGAAACCGGATGTAGTATCTATATAATTGCATAACAAAGCATTAATATTACAATATTTACTATAGCCGTACGTTACACTTGATAAAGTTAAAGTTATGGTAGCATCTTCAGATGAAGGCATAATATACATTACTCCTGTTACAAGTAGAATGTTGATTTCATAATAAATAACGTGTGCATATTGCCATTATAATTTTAATGTACAAGCAATCAAGCATCAATAATAAAAAATATGAATACTCTGATCTCTGGATGATATGTTCTGTTAATATTATGTAACAAATCATATATCAAAATATCACGTCTCGCAGAAGATTTCATTTGCAGTAATTCAAATTTTAACAATTTTTCAATATATTGCTAACCATATAAATACATAGAAAGAATGCTTTATAATTCCATAATTAAATAATTATCAGCGGCTAAGTAATGTAAATAGTTCTGTATAATATCAATATAGACAACTATAATACAAATTGGTCCTAATTCACTTCCGTAAAACGTAATATACAGTTAAAACAAAATTAACCAAAATGATGGTATATCGGATCTTTGTAAAACTGGTCACGCTTTTTCCATGACTGCACATAGTCATCGTAAGCAACGAAAAGTTGAAAATAATCGCTGGTGAAGGCCAAACTGTTCAAAAACAAATATGAGAATCATATCTTCCAATTAACGCAAAACATAAATACGACTGCCGTACCGTACCTTACTACCGGTGATTGCAAATTATTCAGAGATATATCTCTTAAAACACCCAAATTCCAAGCATTCCACATGCTATAAGATAATATTGTATGTGTAACGGTATTACTACTTTGAAAATTACTTACGCTAAGATGTTAACTGCTAAAAATGCATACCGAACGTTTCCATTACTTAGACCCCCAACAATAGCATTAATAGAAATTCCTTCAGGTAAATTAGTATACGCCAAACAAGTAATAGAATAGTCACAAGTACATGTAGTAATAGGGGATCCGTTGATATCACACAGTTTTAATAAACTTCCATGGTTAACATCCTGAGCAGACTTGCGTCCTAAGAGAACGGAAAATATATTTATTTAATGATTTTCCGACTCATATCTCCCATAGATATAGCCCTATCTGATTATTACATTGGATGTTACCTAAGTCACAGGCTGCCACAATATCTCCAGTTGTGGAGCTAACTGTTAGAGCCATAATTCCACTCGGATATCCAGCAATTGTTCGAACATAGCTCAATCTTATCGATAGTTAATTATAATTTAAAAGTTCAGTGTCCGTCAAGATGTTGGGAATATCTCGCAAAGTTATTTTAAATTACCTATTTAAGTCCCAGATTATACACGTTCGATCATCACTACCAGACACAAAAATACTGTATGATTCACATACGGCTAGACAATTAATTCTCTTATAATGTCCATAAAAGTTCATTTTTTGCTCGAGTAATTTAAAGCACTATAAATAACGCGATAAAAATGTAAATCAAGTAAAGTTCAGTAATAACCAGCTATCATGCAAAATTACGCATATCTCTTTATTTGAAGTTGCTATTAGGATTTTTACTACCACTTACCTCGTCAACAAATTTAAAGGACCAGCAAGATATAACACCGGTAACACCACCAAGTAGAATTAAATTTAAAGAGCTAACAGCTGCTGAGCAAGTTACCTAGTGAATAACAAAATTTAGTAACACTTAGTTACCGTTTTACGCGTTATTCATTTATAGCACATAGTTATGAACTGTATGAAGACTTGCAATAAATCACCTGCTCTGACGGATAATAATTAACCATTGGCGTTAAAGGTGAGTTTTCGCCAGTTTTTAAGCTGATAACATTTTCAAGATTACTCCACCGTACCAGCGAAGACCATAAACGCAATTCTTTGTTATCTATCCAGAAATAATCACAAAGGAAAATAACAATAATTAGTTTCCATACAAGTATTAGCTAAAAGAAAAGATATCGATAGCTTGCGGAATTGCACCTTGATTTCTGATCATAGTAGTAAACAAGTCGTTGTTTGACCCTAACGAAACTATATAATCTCCTTTAGCAGATTTAGCGTATTTCACCGCAGTGATAACGCCATCCTTTAAACATGAGGATGACCATCCCATTGATGGCTCCGGCGAGCTAGGAGAACCTAGATAATCACCCCATCTTAACCCTAAATGAGATACAGAAACATTATTTTATCTTTTATCATATGGATCACAAACAGTGTATTCTTATAATTATGAAGTAGAAATCTATTAACGGTCAACCAGCTACACCTTTCACTTTTGATAACGGAATTATTTCATTTGCTTTAGATTTTTCTTCTATATTTCTTCTTGATAGTTGGGCAAATAATGCAGCTCCAGAATCAAAAATAGTAGATATTGTACCTTGATCTACCTGTGGAATCTTCTCAACATGAGGATTTCTAAATAGTCTTAATGGGGTCTGTCCATACGTATTTACCATGGTTAGGTAGGCATTACGTTTGATTGGATCTTTGATGGTATCCATATCAGCAACTTTATATGTCTATGAGTACATATAATACGAAAGTTAAAGATATTCAATACAACATTATAATATCGTGATGCCACAATAGCTTCTTCACTAACTAAATACAGTATTAACATAGCAATTCTTTTAATTACTTACGGATGGATGAAAAACATTTATAGCTTCGATTGCATCTTTGCCAGTTTGTTTGCATCCAAATATCAAATCAATCCATTTATTTATAGATCTTGAGACACAAGCTGACTCCAACGCCTATGAATTGAAAATAGAACATAAATAAGGTCTTAATTTTTTTATCTATAAGTATTTTTAAAATTAAACAGTTGTAATATATAACATACATTACCTGTCTATGAATTAAAATAAATAAACGAGCGTTATTCTCACACCAAGGAGGTAAGCAAACGTCGTTTACTTTTTCACCTGTTTGGCGTTTACCGAAGTCAAACCCTGTTTATGAAATCAAACAATATGAGAAACCTACCAAGATCTGAACAATAAACACATTCTGATTTAGCAACCTTCGAAATTTTTTATAAAGTCCGGCAAATAATAGAACTCGGGTATTAATTCTTTTACATCAGTTGTAGATTCATAGGATGAAAGGCGCCAAGTAGTAGCCATTGAGTGAAAAGTTCTATCAGGCAAATCAAAGCTTTGATCTGGAAGTCATGCAGTTACAGTATTAATATTATTAGAATACTTCCTTAGAACAGCAAATTTAATCACTTTACGTAGAGGAGTCAAAAAGTTATTTAGGGACCGAAAAGTTGTAGCAGCAGTACAAAGAAGTTTCATTACCTTGATAATCAATAAACATTTGCGTATATGGAGGCACTCTAACCAGAAAATGTAAAACAGTTCCGCTATTGGAATAGTGAGAGCCATAATGATAAGGCTCAGATGGTAAACTATTGTCTGTTGTAAGTCCCATCATTAATCCACGTTCATATTCATCTTTCAGTAACTAATCCATCGGTAAAAATTAGTAATAAACTAAACTAAATCCAGCAAGCTGTGATAATAATAAATCTCTACCTGGTAATTTTCTTTATACTTTTTAGCGCGATCTTCATTTTGTGCAGCAATTGGTTTGCTTAAATCCCTAAAAGAAAGTGTTAATAAATACAAGTATAAAGGATAGCAATCTCAGTCACCGAACTAATCAAAATGCTAACCGAAATGACTCCGGACAGGTCAGATCTAAAGTTGTCTCAGTATAATTAGATAAAACAAAAGGGAAAACTGGATATTGCATTAGATCATTGAATGATCTTCCAGCAATTTTATTTAATTGCGTCAAATAATGAAAATTTGATATTTTTCCATCACGCCACCTATAAGAGAATAATAGCTAATTTTAAAAGAGATTTTATCAGTCTTCCGTTAATAATCTGCTTACTTTTGAGTGATGGTGGTTTTAATCTCATCATAATCTCTAAGATGAATAAGTTTATCTCTATGCGCATTAATAATCAATTGATAAACTTCACTTCTTTCCTATATTTTAAAAAAAAAAAAGATATTTTAATTTTTAGCTTGTAATTATAGAAACTCTATTTTAATTATTTTTAACCTTAGATCCACTAAATGACAATAGGTACGTATTTCCATTTCCAAGAAAAATCTCTAGAGCATTATTCTGGCGATAAGAAATTTTTGATCACGTTAATTTAACACAGGCCAACATATAAAATTTAATATCGAAAAAGTTGAATGAAAGATTTGTAAAAGTACATGAAGGCTATATCGTCTTTTATGAATTTCAGTGATTTCTTCAAATTTCCAAGAGAATGTTACGGTTTCAATATTCCGATTAAGCATCTAATGTAACAATATATAATGGTTACAATACTTATATAAATTTGTTAGTTGAAACCTATGAGATTTCTGAAATAATAATTTTACCTTTTTCAAATTTGGCCTTGTAACACTTGTGTCTTGTATAAAATAAAGTCTATACTGGCCTAAAATTAAACTTTAGTTAATCAACAATTAAAAGTTATCTTATCTTATCTTACTAGCTACCGATAAGGAATTCTCCCTCTATTCTATTCTCCGGAGCTATAAATGAACAATGGTAGGAACATCTACAAAATTTTACAGGAATGTTATCCAACAATAAATCATGTATTGAGTAAATGATTATAATTAAGTAAGTTGCAATACATAAGTTGATCATCGTTGTTAATGCAGCTTAATTTTGAACTTGACTTAGAATTGTAAATATCTTTGTTAAAAATTGTCTCAAGAGGAAACTTTGATTTCGTATCTATATAAATATCGAAAAAGTATCGATTATAGCAGTATTAGTCATAGTCAATAAAGCGGAAAGATATCAGCAAATATGCCGCTATGAATTATCGAAACGCTAACAATTTTGACGATCAGTCAAAAAGAACTCATTTGGGATCGTTAATCTGCATCTCCTAAGACGGCGCCTTTCACGATTTGGTCCTTCCGTTGGATCAAGCTCCCAAGATTTAGGATAGCTTTCAAGATCACACCATATAGTCCTTAATAGACATACAAAAAATCAACAATACACCCAATAAATTATCATATATGTACCATATAAAAATAACCTTTCGTGTGCAACTTGGTCAAGGATAAATTTCCAGCCTTTCTTATACAATATATCTCTCCCAAATTTATGGTGTAGGTGCTTTAGAAACTTTTTTATCTGAGCATTCATGCACGTACCGATACGCTCCGCCACAGCCTCACCAGATTTAGAAGCTTTTTCATCAAGAATGCTAAATCGCTCATTCAATCTATCAAGGCAGAACCAAAACAGTGTGTATGATCGAAAGTATGAATACACTCTTTAGTAAAGTTACCAGCAACTCCATTATTGAGAATAAAGATTACCTAAAACAGATCTGATCTTGCTTCGAAAGCCAAGATATATTGAATTGATCATCGTTGATGCTATACTCCGTTTGTCCCTGAAATTATTCAAATTTAGGTCCTCAGTTAGGATAGAACTTTCCTTGTTTTCTTTACATTTCAATCATTCTTCATACTACCTTTAAGCTGACTCCACATTCTTCCGCAATATTACAAAAGTGAAGTAAGTCTTCTGAATTATTTTCCTTTGCAACAGCCCTCAAATCGCGTAGATAACTTCCTAGTATGCCGCGAAACTGATATATGAAATCAAATAAGTTAAACAACCTGAATGTTTTATTAACCTATAATGTTCAATTATCAAGCCAATTCGAGTAAAGAAATAATTTAAATTGCCTTTAATTTTAAGGTAGAATTTGACAAATCTGAAAATAGCCTCTTCGCAATTCCTTTTTTTTCCAAGATGATTAACACCAGTTTAGTAAGATTTAGGCTTCTCGATGGTGATAACAAAAACAGTAATAATCTCTGAAACTAAGAGAGTTTTAAAAGCAATAATAAGATGTTTTAAGACATCATAAGACATTCTAAGCCTTTGATATATGATTACTCACCTGCATACGAGCAACATCTTTAGTCAAGCGAACAAGTTCTACTTTAAAATTGTCTTTCAGTAGTAGCTCCTATGATAACATGAATAAGTAATAATGACTAACCGCTGCTCAATTTTATTTGCAGCTACATCCAAAAGTATTTTATACTAAAGTCACATGACGTGTAAGTATGCTGTACCGAGTCATTTAGCGAACAATTCATCAGCATCTTAAAAACGCTCGATATAAATTGGCTCTCAAAGTTGTCCACATCTCCGCCATTATGATCATAACCACTAGTAGCAATGATTAGATTCGTACAAAGTACGCAAATACTACGAAATTTGTTCGCAGATTCTGCCACGGGAACTTTAAAAAGAATTATACCTTACTGGCTCATTGATAAAATTGAGATATTATATTATAGCTATTATTACTCAATCTTACCCTCCTCTTTTTTCATCGTGTCATGTAGAATATCAACAAAACCATCAGATATCCATTTTAAATTTAAATCACTTTCTTGTGCCTCCTGTTCCCAATGCCAGAAACTTTTAACTGCGCACTTTAAAACAAAGTACCGTACCGATTTTATGTACAAAGCGGCATTCGATCTCCGCCCTATAATCAGAAATCAAATGTATGATTATTAATTCATTCTATTGAAGTAGGTCATCATTGCATAGATAATTGGTTTTTATTTAAGCCATATCTTCGGTCAATCTACCCGCTCTAATTTTTTCTTCTTTATACAATTTGCACAATAAAGCTACCAAATCCTCGAGGTAATGAATACTGTGATCGTTACTAGAGCTGAAACAGCAAAGAACGGAATCTTTATTATGCAAATAAAATAAGTTTACTATCAATATTATTTGTATTTTGAACTGTAATACAAGAATATACTACCTGCTAATGAAGTGACTGACGATGAATAACGACCGCAATACACACTGACCAATACACTCAAACTCTGAATTTGTTATCTCACTAAAACAAGTACAAAAGTAAAGTTAAAATTTCTAACAAAAGCATCTAATTGATGCTACAATAAATACTACAGCTATGTTTACATTACCTTTTGCTTTCGTCATATACATTTAATAACCGAATTACTTTGCATAAAGTCATTGTGAGTCCATTTTCGATAGCTACTTCAATTAAATCCGACCATGCCGAGAATATCTAAACGGTAAGTTCGTAAATAAACTTTAATTTTAGCTGCTGTAATATAATGATGGTATAGGAACAACAGTACGATAAAATAACTTCCTATATCTACTAACATCATTCATGAACGTTAATGTAGCAATCAAGAGGGAAGGATAAACAAAACAGTTCTCAAGTAATGATAAAATCGGTACAACTGCCAGGCACCTCGCTTTTTGGGATGTGTTAAATATTGGAAGAGACCTGATGCAATTATATTTGTATCATCATTAATAAAAATACAACGAAGCAGTATTTGCAACCTACAAATTATAGACATTAGCTAATAACCTTCGTTGCTGAATATCAACCGGAGAGTTTAACAGGATTGAAAAACAGCCATTCACAAGTGGAAAGTCTGGATCCTTTCCATAAAGCTATAAACGTTAGATTACAATACGTTGTTATCGTACAGTTATAGAATTACAGCATAAACAAAAGCGTTTTGGAAAGAAAGAAAGAAATGGCTATCCTTTACATTACGAACCTGTCTGGCTAACAAATGGAAACCATGAATAACGTTAAAATTTAGAAGTTCTTTCTCATTTGATCGTTCAAAATAGCGGTATAATAACTTAGGAAGCAAGTTGTAGATAAAATTAAGAAACCCACATATTAGCCGCCAATAAAGAGTAAAACGAAAATACATTGTATCTTCATCGTTAGTAACAGCTATATAACGTCAACTTGTTTATCAACTTCTACAATTACCTTAACGATAGCCGTTCTAATATCCAATGATGGAGTATTGGCAAGTATTAATAGGGTATCAAAATGAATCATTTGACCTAGTATGCTTTCCAAACGAGCATCAGGTAGATTTAAAAGAACTCCATCCATGATTTGGAGTAATGATAACTTGAGCGAAACCAGAGCATCATCATCTTTAAATTCACTTGCTTTCCCACTAACAATCACAAAATACCATATATAGCTAAGTTTAATGAATGAATAATAAAAATTCACGAATCTGATATTACCATTCGCCGTAAGAAGATTGTCTGATATTGAGATCTTCGTCATTATAGCTGGTATTGGCTAATTTACCCTCACCGTTCACATTAAACTTGATATCTCCAACGACGCTCTTAATTATTGTAAATTGAAATTTACCATACTTCAGTTACGGTATTACAGTATTTAGATACATTAATAACAGAAATACTTACCCTTGAATAGTTATCCCTAAGATTCTTGAACTCCTCAGTAATAAAATGATTCAAAAATGGGTCGGAGAAAGTTCTGTGAAGCGAAGATACATCCCTATCACCTGACTCATTGAATGATTTACTCCTAATCTTATGTCTCCCTTGTACTTTTACTCTTGTAGTAGCATATAATGGTCCTATGTAATTTTAAGACAAGAGTTTTGCTCACTACATGCTTGGGAAAGTCAATAACCACAGCAATACTAAAACTCTTGTTACCTAGATCACAGTAATAAGACTCAGTCCTATGTGTTTTCACTCTTGCGTCTATGAACGGATGAACAGCAAGTAAAAAGTCAAAGATGCCCTCAATAAAGTAGGTATCAGGGGGAGATCCCAACATATAGTCAATCACTGTAACATAATGTTCAATGATTACGGCTGGAATCTGAGTGAAACCATCCTGCTGTTGTTCCTTAAAATTAAAATATCGAAAATACCTTGCTTCAGTGTCATCTGTTATCTACTAGTGGGTATTT